AAACTCATCTTCTATGTTAGATTTTACCAACGAGAAAAAGGGGAAACCAAAAACCCGTTACACTCCAGTTGCTTACTGGATACAGGAGCATCCGGAACTTGATTGCTCAACTCTCGATGCTAAGAAATTACGCATGAAGGATCTTGGGGCGTCCAAACAGATGTGTGACTACCCCTGCAGGAGAATTAAAACCAGCACGAAGTGCAAAGGTGCTTTTATGATTCCTGAATTCCACGAAGATAGAATTACGAGTGGTATTTACACGTTCACACAAAGCTTGGGGGCCTATGACATGATAATAGGTCGAGACATTCTCTCTGAATATAGGATTCAAGTTCGATTTCACTACACATGTCAGATGAATGGGGACGGCGCATCTATTTCCTATGAAAGACAGCGACACCAATGAAGAAGAGAACTTTTCATTCCTGATCCTACGCTGTTGATGACCAGTGCAGATCGCTCAAGAAGATTCTGATGCGAAATACGAACAAGTGACTTAAGGCAGGTTTGCCAAAGTCAAGATCAGTTAAACATGGAAGAGAAAGAACAGCTTCATTCCTTACTGACGAAGTACCTGACCTATTCGATGGTACTTTAGGAAAGTGGCAATGGACGACCACGAAGTAGAACTTCTCCTGATGCTAAACCCTATCATGCAGGGCTTATCCTATTCCCACGGGTCCATACCAACAACTCTAAATGGAGGTTGAACGTCTCTGCAGAACAGGAGTACTCAAGAATGGTTAAACCGTTCCGAGTGGCGGCACCAACCTTTATCATCCCAGAAAGAGTGGATATCTACGATTCGATCTCTGATTTCGGGAACTGAACAAAAGGATTAAGCGGAAGCCTTATCCTATCACCAAAAATACAGGACATAGCTCTTGAATCTAGATGGATTCAAGTACGCATACTAGTCTATGACCTGAACATGGGATATATCCATCGAGCTGTCACCTCAACTCGAAGCAACTCTGTACATCGTACTCCGTGGGGAAAGTACGAGTACCAGAGGTTGGCCAATGGGCCTATGTAATAGTCCCGACATCTCCAAGAGAAGATGGGAAAACATAATGCAACGACCTAGAATACGTCCGGCATACATTGATGTATCTTCTCATCCTAACTAATGGCGATCTAGGCAGATCACTGTAAAAGTTGGATGAAGTTCTCCGAAGGCTTCGAGAAGCCGACTCTTAAGATCAATGCTACCAAAATCCTTCTTCGCAAGAGGAGAACGAATACTAGGTTACGGAATTTACTCGAGAAGGGAATCCAACCTTAACCAAGAAAATAGGCGGATCAAGAATATCGCTCCTCCTACCAACAGAAAAGAACTCCGTAGATTCATTGGACTAGTTGAACTACTACGAGACATGTGGATTAGACGATACCATGTACTGGCCCACTACGCTTCGTTGAACTTCCAAAACAACGAAGTGGAAATGGGAAGCGGAACACGACAAGGCATTTAGCCAGATGAAGAAGAATCAGCAAAGAAACCTTGCTCTGCCTACCCTGACTTCAAGCGATACATTCGTTATCCACACGAGATGCGAGTGATACTCAACTAGGTGGCAGTAATTTCCCAGAAAGGGAAAACTCGATCGCTGTTCTACAGCAGGAAACTCAACCCTGCCAGACACGTTATACAGTTACCGAGAAGGAAACTCTCAGTATCGTAGAAACTCTAAAAGAGTTCCGTAACATATCTTCTGAGACAGAAGATCGTTGTAACTACGGACACACGAAGAATCTAATCATGTAAGAACTCAATAACCGATCGCGTAATGCGATGGCGCCTTATTCTGGAAGAATACGGCCCGAACTACGTACATCAAGAGGCTAACAATAACATCGTCGCTGATCGCGTTGTCGGAACTTAACATCTCCAACTAACGACGGTTCTTCAAGAACAGATGACGCCAGCGAGATCGCTGAACTCATGGCTGGAGACGAAGAGGAACTTCCCTAGCAGTTCCCTCTCTCGTTTCCCCGAGATCGAACATCGTCAGAAAGACGACAACGATATCAAGAAGCTCACCCAGGGACAAGCCAAACGACTACAAGAGCAATCTTTCCCCAGAGGGATAAGTCTTACGACTATGTAGTTATGCTAAACGTGGGGAATACTACTGAATAGAGGGATCTTGTAGAGGTAGCTACCACCAACAGATCAACTGCAACTATTACAAGACGAGTGCAAGTTAAATGCAAAGTTCGCTTTTTAGTAATTCATATCTTGTTGTGAGCTTTGATTGATGCGATCAGTAAGCTGTTGTAGCGTGTTGGATGAATACATCGTGGTAGTTGATTTGTTCATACGGAAGTCAACGTGGTATCTGCGGGAAACGGTTCGTTGGCAGGATGCTTTACTCCTGTCGAATACTCAATTTACCGTGTCCTTTGGTTTCAGTTGAGAAACATGACGTGTTCGTCTGCCAGCTTTCTCATGTTCCATCGTGTGTACTCATAAAACATGCACTCAATCTACTCACGGATACTCTGAGTCGTGGGAGGAACTGTAACGATTTCACTCCCCTCAGTGGCGACTGTCGAATCTGAGTGTTTCTTACAGCAATACTTGGTATCTCCTGACAAAAACAGTAGTGCATTCAGCATAGGCCATATCGATGTATAGTCCCAGTGTTTGCTGAGGATTTCTGCAGGGTTAGTAGATCAAGGGATATGATGAAATCTTCAGATACATTGCAGCACCAGCTTCCCTAGTACGGTGACAGGAAAGCGCGCATTGTGTATTTTGAGAATCTTTGAGTGTGGCATCGATGCGGTGTTGACTACCGTCTCGTTGTCTCCGAACATTATGGTCGGTGTGTCGACCAGTACTCTTAGGTACCTGAACGTGCTCCGTAGGGCAATGATCTGTTCAGTGGCTGTACGGGCTGCAACATACTCAGATCCGAACGTTCCGGTCTCGACTGTTGACTGTAGCTTGCTGAACCAGTCGATGGGAGTTTTGTTCGCTAGGTAGGATTTCCTCCGGTTCAACTGACCGGTGCGCCGTGACATCGTGAGTGTCCCATCCTCATCGCGTTTGAAGTTGCATCCTAGGTGGAACTCCACCTCACCAGTGCCCTTGAGCTTGAACTTGTGGGGCTCGGCCATCAGCCCATCTATGATTACTTGGGGCTCACGTGATGCAATGAGTAGGTCATCAATGTAGCACGCAATGTACTCATAAGTGGTCTCCTCGATCCTTCATCCAGATGTCAGACTCAGCGCGTGAGGGCTTGAATCCCATGGAGTAGAGCACATCAAACAACTTGTCATGCCAGCACTTTCCAGAAGATTTTAGTCCATATTGTGCCTTGATCATCTGCATTGTGTGTCCAGCCAGAGGTCCAAACTCGCCTCCGGCAATGAAGCATACCTTTTCAGTTGTGTAGGACTCCAAGTATGCATTACCAACATCCGTGGCCCACAACTCTAAGTCATTCAATTCCGCAATGAAGGTGACAAGGCAAATTTCTTGCAGAGAAACAACACCTGAATACACAGAATCAGTTGGTGTCTCTGTCCTGTGTCCACCTGCCACAAACCTCGACTTGTGGCGTCCATCTATCTTGATGTCATACGGACTGGCACTCCGGAGAAGATTCATTTCACGTTTCCAAGATTCGATTTTACGGTTATTTTACAGTTTTCGGAAATGGGAACCCGGAAGTGATCATTTCGCGAATCGTGCTTGTTTGCGGCAAACAGCAGAACAGAGAAGAATAACAAAGAAAAAATCAATTTTACCACCATGGCAACAGTGTTGGCCAAATGGTCTCTAGCTTAACCAATACATTGTTCTAGCTGAGTCTGTCAGAGGACTAGCTCCCCAACACACTCACAGAGCCACCCCTTGAAGGGACTCAGCTATCTCCAAGGTGTGTCATGGAGCTCAGCAGAGAATTCCTGGCTGGATTAGTGGTTGATCTCCTTGATGCCGACAAGATAGACAATGTCTCTCCCTTCAAGGATTGTTGGTTGACAATTGATGCCATCAAAGCAGTCATCTGCAAGAGATACAATGTGGACAATAAGGATGTGGCCACAGAGCAACTGTCAAAGGCAATGAATGGGATCCAAATCAACAACAATGGCAACAGCACGCCTATTCACTTGGCACAGGCTGTCACATTCAAAGGATTCCTTGTTGATGGCACCAAAGCAAAGAAAAAGAGGAGAAGGTTAATATTCCTCTCCAGATCTAAGGAAGCACCATCTCTTCCACTCAACAAAGAGGAAGAGTTATGGCAAGACTTACTCTTAAAATCTCATCAAATTGAGGTTGGCTCTCATCCTGACATTCTTGCCGTGAAATCATATGGAGAGAAATCCAGATCAACAAGGCAGCGATCTCCTAGTCTTGGAGAGATGGATGGCAAACTGGAGGTGGCTATGAGGCGACAGCCAAGGGGAACTCTAAGTAGCCAAAAAGAAAGCAATAACCATGGTCACTCCGTGAAAGAGGTCATCGGTCGATCCGTCGTCAACGTCGAACGATCTATTCGTTGCCCCTGCCGCTGCCACTACCAACCAAACAAGAGGAGCCTGTCATGGTGGTGAGTAGTAGCCTTTGTTAAGAGGAGTAGCCGCTATAGAGGAGTAGCATCATCTTGATAGAGTCAATAAAGATAGAGGTATCGAAATAATGAAAAAGAAGAGGTGTACGAGTGGCTTGGATCGATCCGGGTGATGTCAGTTGAGATTAAGGTTAAGGATATATGTCCCTTAAGTCTTTACACGGAACGTTCCAGGACGTTGCCGGTTCGCATTCGAATGTCTTACCGGGAGCGGGCTTGCGTTTGCGTCAATAGCTTCGATACAGCCTGTACACCATGTGGCAGGGGATCTTCTGGAAGCCCTTTGGTACTGGCGCTCCGAGGCCTAGGCTCTTGAACGTGTCGTATTCCAAGAGCTGTTTGATCTCGAGTTCTTCTGAGTCCTGCCACTTTGTGTTTCCATTCTTTTCGTCGATGAAGACCACCTCAGCATGATTCCTTGGAAGCTGGTGCCCATACTTGTACACCGGCTTGTTCCGGAAGTTCTTCAGCCTGGCTTGGTGAATCATCCTAGCAAATTTCTTTGCGTTCTTCGTGTAGGGTCTACACCGCTTCCATCCATCCACACCAACCAGGTTGTTCTTCACCGCATACAGGGAAACAGAAACTGGATCATCATTGAAGATGAACCCCATATCTTCCCATGTCTTGCACCCGCTTGCCCATTCAACAAGGATCTCAAACTTGGAGCGTGTCTTGGATGGCCTGTGGTCTTGGACAGAGTCAATCTTGAACATGTCGTCCAGGTCAAGGTCACGGTCACACCATTCGAGCATCTTGGAGTAGGCCTTGGTCTCCTCGAAACACTTGTCTCCATGCTTGCATCGGAATCTGAAAACAGCCTCCTTGCCATCAGCGTCAGTCTCACCTGTGGGCGTCGCAGAGACAATCTTGGCTCTTGCCTGCTCCCCATTGTCGTCCGGGTTGGTTATGAACGTTCGGTTGAGCAAACCTGACACATCAATGGTCGGTAGTGTGCCACCTTGGAGAATGTCGTCCTCTCTCAGGTGTGAGCTGATATCGTGCCGGATGGCGTCATGGAACACTGTAGCGTCATGGGACTCCCCAAGATCAATACCTCCTTCGATGGTCTTTGAGGGTGGCCCGTCCACAAATGGCTTGGGTTTGGGCGCAAGCTTGGGTGCCTGCGCATCCGCCTTCCAATTGGTGAATTCATTGCCGAGTCTTGCTGTTCTAGCGACAGCCCGATGGATGATCTTGTCGTCCTCAGTGAGAATCTTGTACGTCATGCCATGACCAACATACTCTGAGACGCCAACGAACCTCCCCACACACTCGGTTGAGTCCTGTGGGAACTTGGCATCATACTTCTGGTAGTAGACTGGTTCATAAAACTCAAATTGAAGAAGTGCAGATATGTCAGGTGTGTACCCATGCAACCACTCAAAGGGAGTTCTCCATCCAAGGCTCTCATATGCCTCTGCAGGGTGGTCACATACTGGCCAGCAGTCAGCCAACACTTGGATGGTGCATTCTTGGTGTCCAGCACCAGCTGCGTCTTATTGGTCTTGGTATCCTTCCATCCGTGTTCTGCATAGTTCTGATTCCCTCTGTATGGCTCAGAGGTTCGGTCGTTGATGCAAAAGGTCCGTAGGATGTCCTTGACCCGTTTGCTTGCCTGGGCCTGGGCATTGTCGCTCCTGATGCAGTTCATTGCTCCAAACCTTCGGATGTTGTCCATCAGTGTCTTGACATAGCTTGCGTCACTGGTGCCAGCGGGGTGTAATGACCTGTTGTGGGATGTGCGTCCAATGGGGGATTGGGCTGCCACAGATCCGTCGTCAACCGCAGGGACACTGCCGTAGATAGTATCCGTGGCCACATCCTCTTGCCTTCTCGGAATGTTGAGGATCGGGTTGGGCGATAGTATCTGGCTTCGGAGAGTACGACCTTGGACAGCTCCCTTGGTACCATACTGGGTAGTGGCATCCAGTGTTCGCTTGAGTGTCTCGTCACTAGTTCCCGGAAAGAACCGCCCCATCATTGGAATCTGCTCAGGGGGCCGCTTGCGGGATATGGGCGGCCGCTCAACACCGGTATGGTGCTTGGCCCTGTTGTTCGACTTGAGAATGTCTCCATCTTCATCTTCAACGTCGCTGGAACTGTCATCATCATCGCTTGGGAGTACTGTCTCAACTCGTGGTCGTCTGTCAACGGAGGACTGCTTCTTGGAACGAGGTCGTCTGACTTCAGGCATCTTCCGAGTCCTTTTCTCCCCATCCTTCGTTGGGTCAGAGGGCGGGTGGGACGGGAACGGGAGCGAGTACTTGGAGGCTCCCCACGAAGCTGGCCACGGGTTTGGACTCCAAAACAATGCCGTAAGTCCTCAGTGTCGGAGTCAGAATCAGGACCAGAGGAGTCGGAGTCTTCAGCACCAGAGGAGTCGTCATAGGGGGACAAAAGGTCGGGGACACGGGCAAAGCACTGTCGGAGGTCTTCAATGTCAGAGTCATCCTCAAGGTCAGAATCATCGTCGGAGCTGGAGTCATAATGATGGCACTGGCGGGATAAGAGGGCGGGGACATCATCAGCACAGGCAGGGACCAGATCGTCTTTGACAAGGTCAGCCATGGCAGCGATAATACCGCGGCGATCAATGGACTGCTTGGGGGTGGGACGAGATGGAGTCAGGGCATCGTCATCCAAAGGCTTGAGTCTGCCCAAGCTGTCGAAAGGGGAATCTGCATCGTCAAGGACGGTAGTACTTTGGGTGTCATACCAATCATCGGACGGGACCGAATCAAGGCACGAGGGGTCCCACGGGTGTGGGCTAGTCAAATCTATCAAAGGGATGGAGTCGTCTTCCATCTCAGCATCAGTGGGTGGCCGCCAGTCTACATACGGAAGTCCATTGCGCATGGCCATGGGGACTCTGAAACCATTGGGTGTGACAAAGTAGGGGTCCACTCCAGTCACGGTCTTGGCTTTCTCGTGAACACAACAACCAAAGTGCTCCATCTGACCGGGACAAGCAATGGTACGGCCGTCATACATGACGGCACCCTGGTGGATGCGACCAAGGATGGGACCATGATCACTTCGCATGAACACAACCGCAGTAGCCAACTGGAGGTTTCGAACTGTGTGATTGTCAATACCATTCAAATCAATGAATGTACCAGATGAATTCACAACACGTACATCATTGCCAAGGATAAATCCATTGGCGCCTTGATCCATCAAGGCGCACCAAAGTCGTTTGCGGTGATGGATGAAGGCTGAGTAGTACGATACACAAGGGTGGTTGGGAACACCAGGACCTTAGGGGGGGTAGGGGTTCCAACCCAGTCATCATCGGCGGAAGGTAGCGCCGCTGTGGGCTGACTGTGTGCTACCCCGCTGTCATTTGTCTCTGAAGAGGTTCCTCGGCTAGACCAGCTTGAGACAAAAGCTAGTCGCCGAGCCGAAAATCCGCTCTATCAGGGCCAGGCTTGGTAGAATGGGCAGCACTGGAGGCAATGTCATCAACGTTGTCCAGCATGCGGTGGAATGCATGGTGGGCGGATCGATTGCTCGGGTGGCTGGCAGCAAGGTTACCTTCGCGTGGCTTGGGTTTGGCGCCCATCATTCGAGCTGGGTGTGCCGGGTGCAGGTCATTTGACTTGGACTGGGGTGCCGAGTGGAATGGACATGCTCCAGGCTTGGCTTGTGCTTGATTGGCTTCCATGGTGGGTGGTAGTGTGTCATCCACATATTCAGGGTGATCCTTCTCCTCATCCTGCTCTACCATTTCAGAAAGGTGAGCCTGTCGTGCAGGTGGACCGGGCTTGGGTGGGGATGACTCCATCAAGATCTTCTTGGCCTGGGGGGACAGCCGGTGCCAGATGGACTTGTCTTCACGTGGGAGTTGGCGGAAGAACTCATCGGGCAATCGGGTGGTGGGGTCCATATTGACATTGAATGCATCAATGCCTCCATCAGCTGGGGCCTCACTGTCTTGACCATCACAGTTGTCACCATCAATGTCATGCCAATTGACAGACCGACGGCGTGACGTTGCCCGGTTCCTGTCGTAGCTAGCGGCAGTCACCTTGATAACTTCGTAGTACTCGATAACTTTTAGGAGCGAGAGCTCTGGATTCCTCTGGGATAGCTCCAACAGCTATGCTGGCCTACAACTCCAGCATGCGCAGTTGGCTTATCTCCCAACAAAGCAGCAAGAAAGGATCGTCCTTTCCATCATAGTTAAGAAAATAGTACGAAAGATTGAGACCGATCCTGATTAGCTTGTAGCCCCTTTGATACCGCAGCAGTTGATACCTATCCTGTTGAGGCCGGGCAGAAGCAGTAGGAGGTGGCAGATAGTACTGTTCCCAGACTGCCACTGCACGATTGAATAACGAAGGCCCCCAGCTCCTGAGGAGAGCTGGCCCAAAGGGTCCAGCAGAGAGCTCTGCTGGCCCTCCTGTCTGACTGACAGGGCCAAGTCCTTGGTTTGGGTGCCTACTGGAGGTGTTGGATACTCCTGAGGCACGACAAGGCTCCCTGAACTGCCTGACTACCGCTGTCCCTGAGGAAGGGTTTCAGCGAGATCCAGCCCACTACTTGGGTATTGGAACTGAACCTTCAAGAAACTTATTGGATTAACAGTCAGCATAGATTTGCAGGCAGTTCTCTTAAAAGGGAAGAAGAGACCTCCTTGACGAGAAAAGGATCTCTTCGAATTACACTACAATATATTGGTCTTCAGTTGATTTCATTGGAATTTGGTGCTGATTTCAAGCCCACTTTTGAAGCCCTAAGTCCACAACCTTCTGATCGATTTTGATGGTTCCAGCCACCACCACAGTGACAGGAACCTTCTTGTTGACCATCTACCAATACAACTACAAGGCCAACACCATCATCATTGCCTTGAAAAGGACCTAGATTTCAACAACCTCATTGACAACAGCAACAAGCTACCGTTCGTGTTGACACGACAAAAGCAACCAAATTCACTCGAAAGAAGAAGCGGTCACCGTGAAGGAACACCTGGCGTCTCCGAGTGCACGCGAGACTTATTGTTTCCGCACCAATCTTGGCAATCGGACAAACCTTTTACGTGGAAGTCCCTCTCAGAGAATCGCGAGATTTATTGTGTGGATACGACGCTTATCTCTTTTGAAATCGGGCTTATTCCTTTCAACACAATTCAGCGATTTACACGGAACGTACGCGGCACAACTGGATTTATTTGAAATCTTGGGGCATATCGCTTTTGAGTCCCCGTGCAGTTTTCGAGTGTCACGAGTTTCCGTCCTGTGCCATTTCAACGATTTCACGGAACCTCGAAGAAGCACCGTTCAGCCAATCAAATCGTCCGTGCAGTTTCGGTACTTATTTGACGTGCCCTGAGTCAGTTTTGCACGACCAAGACGCTTCCGTACCGTTCCGAGAGGTTCCTGTACCGGTTTTGCGCTTATACAACAAGGTTCCCCGTACCGGTTTTGTTCTGAAAGCAGGCTCAGCTTCGGTAACCACTTTGCGCTCACAATTTTAAGGAGTTTACGGTGTATCTTCGTCGAGTCATTGAAATTTCGCGATCTTCCGTACGAAACTCCCATTCAGCCTACCGAAGACGCAACTCGAGGTATCACGCGACGACCAAGAGGTCAATTCGCTTGGCTGCAAGTGTCACCAGTGAATCCGCCATCCCTTGTTTAGTCAGTGGGTATCTCACCTTCAGTACAAGCAACTTGTGCGGGGAGGTTCATTGGCCCAAAGTTGTCTGGATCCTCAGTGGCAAAATACCCACAAACCAAGCCAATTACCAGCACCACAGCAATTCAGGAAGCAGGTTCCAGACCTTGGACCTGGTCTACCTTATTCAACTACACCTAGATTGAATTTTCCAGGCCCCTAGCAAGGTCCCAAGAAGTCATCTTTGTTGCACTACGCTAAAAGCTAGTGTAAAGATCTTTCGAGTGTTTTGAGTTTGAGAGAATGAAAGTTATGAGAGAGATTAGAAAGCTATGAAAACTAATCAACGAGAGAGATCATCATCAAAGGATCGTAGGCGTGTCCCTCATCAATACAATGTCAACGATACTGATGATTCAACAGTATCAGCACCGCAAGTACGGTCAGCCGAAGTACAAAGGTCCTTACACTATAGACCGAGTCAAATGACAATGGCACTGTACGGCTCCAACAGTCTACCGCCAACGGCGGCACAGTCTACCAGACTTGGAACATAAGGTATTACACATACAAGGCCTGATCCCCTTGTAGATTGCCATCGTGCGACGCAACATGCTACATCCAAATCTCATGAGAGTGCCCCGCACTTTAAATCATATGTTCCTCTTGTCCGACTGCTGTCGCGCCTTCTGTGACCCTTGTCAGGGGCGAATGCAATACACGGCTCTTAGCCTTATTCGCGACTCGATCATAGATAGGGTTTGTTCGACTCATGACTGAGTCTCTCGTGAATAGTCATTTGAGACAGGGTTCTCAATGACCGCGCTAGTATACTAGGTTGATGATGAAACATCGCTCTAGATATTTAGCCAGCGTGGATACTTCCACGCTACTAGATCCAGGCTAGACAACCTTCCACGCGTTCCGTTTTAGGACTTGGAGAGACGTAGGACTACTACCACAACCTACTCTATCACTTTATAGTCTCCCCGCGGGAAGCCAGAT